AAAAAAAAAATCAGAATTCAGACATTACCAGATATTGTTTGCAAAATGGGTGTTTTCTGGGGATTCTGGATTGCTTTTCCTGTCCATCATCTCCCCCTCTTGTCAATTGTAGGATTATCTTCATTCTCTGGGAAAAGCCCGAACTGCTCAGGTACAGAAGGACGCCAGGATTGGAGAAGCTGAAGCCAAGAGAGATGCTGGCATCAAGGTGGGCAATTGTGGAAGGAAAGTTGTGGTGGGCTTTTGACTGTCTACCTTGTTTTAGAGATTGCTGGAGGTTTTTAAGGAAAGATTGGACAGCCATTTCTCTGGCATGGAATAAGGTCTCTTGCCTTGGGCAGGGGGTTGGAGTAGAAGACCTCCAAAGTCCCTTCATGCCCTATGATTCTTAGCAAGTTCAGATCTGGATACCATGTTTCCCCCAAAATAAAACCCTGTCTTATACATTTTTTGCCACCAAAAAGGCACCAGGTCTTATTTTGAGGGATGCCATCCACTGACTGACCTCACTTGTGCGCGTCGCCCCCGGCCTCCTTTTCGCTGTCAGAGGCCTTCAGGAACTTCTTCTTCTGTGGCCAGCAAGGCTTTCCTGAAAGCCTCTGCAGCCGATAACAGATCTCCGGATCGATCCAGAGCTTTGTTAGCAGCTACAGAGGCCTTTACGAAAGCCTTGTCAGCCTTGATGGCTGCAGAAGGAATGGGCCAGTGAGGCAGGTGTCAGGGTGTGTGAGGCCTGGCTACAACTATTCAAAGGTAAGTAGGAGGGCAGCTCCACCCGCCTCATCCCCACCCTAGCTTAATTTTTACCTGTGCACTCTGGAATGGGCGGGATCTTAATTAGGGCTTATTTTGGGGGGTAGGGCTTACATTGGGCGCATGTGTAAAAAATCAAGCTAGGACTTACTTTCAGGGTCGGTTGTATTTTCAGGGAAATGGTATTAATTGGATGGGAGACGACTTGGAAACCCCAAAGCTGTAGAAAGGAAGGCCGTGACTGCCAAATGATTTCCCAATAGTATCAAATAGACTTCCCCATAAACTCACCAGGAATCCAACAAAAACTTGAGACTCTTCTTTAAAATCAAAACTTCTTCAGCACTCTTGGCTTTTGCACTATCCCTGAGCTCTTGCCTCACTCTTCCTGTCGGGCACTGCCTCTGAGTTCTCCCATCTTGTCCACCTCTAGGAAGCCACAGCCAAGCAACAGAAATTGTCTGCTCAGTTTATGAACGATATTGAGATGGCCAAAGCTCACCGAGATTTCGAGCTGAAGAAGGCTACTTACGACATTGAGGTGAACACACGAAAAGCCGAATCGGACTTGGCCTATCAGCTGCAGGTGAGCCACCCCACCGCACAGCCAATCAAAGGGGATTGGCAGGTGGCAGAGATGGAATAAGTTGTGGCCTATTTTTTTTCCTCAAATGAAACACGCATAGGAAAATGTTTGTGATTCCTGCCCCTCGGCCTAGTCACATCCTTCATTTAGGGCAGGGCCGTCCAACCTTGGCAACTTTAAGATCTGTGGACTTCAAATCCCAGAGTTCCCCAGCCAGCCAGGGGCAGTCCACAAGCCTTAAAAGTTGCCAAGGTTGGACAGCCCTGAGCTAGAGCATAAATTTGCGGGATGTTGACATATTGAGCTATGAACAAGCTGTTGTGGCCTGCCGGGGCTGGTGGAGCTGGCAGCAGAGTTGGACAGTAGTGAGGAGATTGGGAGGAACCTGGGCCAGTCTTGGAAGCTGAGGAAGGCTCGGATGAGGGCTCTGCATCAGAGGTAGAGATGGGGCCAGGGCAGGCTGGCAGTCATCAGCTGCTTTTGGGCTCAGATAGCAGGGAGGCTGGGGACCAGTTGGAACCGTTTCCCAGCCTGCGTATGTGCAGAGCTGTTAAAAGAAAGGAGCAATTAAGAACTCAGGGTGAACATGGGAGCAAGGCCACTGGTGGCCGACGAATGGCCCTTCCCACCAGGATTAAAAGAGGAGCAAAAGAGGAGGGGGCTTTTGAAGGAAACAACTTGCTCGTTGCATGTTTGTGTTTGTTCCAGCCTTGTGGGTCTGTAAAAGTCTGTAATTCCAGCCTTCCCTGCAACAGTGAGTATGGAACTGTTTACCAGGCAGCATTGCAGGATTGATAACAGTCTGAGATAATTAGTTCACCTTTGGGAGAATGTGTGCCGAGCTGTTGGCTGACTGTGAATGAACCAATTCACATTATCGTAAATAAAGAGGTTTTTGCTGGGACTCAGAATTGACTGAGTGCTGGTCTTCCGGTTTGAAGGGCTTTGGTGACAGACAGAAATCTGCAATCGTGCGTGGTTTCTGTTTGGGCTCGCCGCTGGAGCGCCCTGAGCCGGCTGGTTTCGGGGCTAAGCCACCCCGTAGAGGTGGTGAAGAGGGGGGAGACCGCCAGCAGGGTTGAGGAGAGCCGCATCTCTCCTCAGCTGGCCATTACTCCCTTTCCCGAAGGCGGTTGCAGCGGTGGTCAGAAATGGCCACCGCAAAGAAGAACTCGACCGGAAAAGAATGTGCAGGAGGAAAATAAGAAGTGAAAGTTTTGGCTGACCGGGTTAAATTGTAAAAGTAACAACCAAGGTACCCTGGAATTTAAACTTACAAAAAATAACATCGCTCCCAAAGAAGAGTCGGAAGCAGCGAAGGAAAGTGAAAAGGGAAAGGTTTGGGTTTTTTTTTCCTTCTCTCTCCTTCCCTATACTGACAACTAAGAGACTTAAATAAGAAATTGGAAAAATCCGCTTTGACATCAATAGACAATTAAGCTGAAAATAAAACAAAATGTCAAAGGGATAATAAAGATTTCTGGACATTAAAAACTTTCTTTTTCATAAGCAGGAAGGGAGAGAAAAAGAATAAGGGCAGGATCTGGAAGAGGGAGGAGACTGCCTGGAATTAAAAAGAATCTAAAGTAAAACTTCAACAAGACTTCTGAAAGATACATTTTAACTGAAACTTTGCAACTAAATAGTAACCCCAGGAAGAGAAAGTGAAAAAAAAAGAGCAAAAAAGAAACAGCTTGCGTGTATTTGAATTATTTGGTGATCTTTGGATTTTTGGTTATTATATTTGAATGACTAAAATCAACTGGGTGGTTGTTTAAAAATTTATACAATGGCACCACTTCTGGATGAATTGAAAATGGAACTTAAAAAGTACAAAGAAGATGCACAAGAAGGGAAGGGTTCTTTTGGCTTTGTCTTTCAATTCTTAGAAATGGAGATTTGGAACTATGAGAAACAACAAGAAAAGACTGCAAAACAAGAAGATTGGGACAAAGAAGAAGCCATCTTTAATGAACAAGCAATTCTATGTGGGGAAGAAAAAGGAAAGGGGGGAAAGAGAGTGGAGAATTTAAGACTTAAAAAAACAACCAAAGAAAAGAAAAATAATTCAAAAAATAAGTATAATACTGGAAAGCAACAGAAAGGGGGAATACAGAAGAGAGAAATAGAGGTAGAGAGACAAGGGGGTAAAAAGGGGAGAGAGAAGAAGAGAGGGAAGAAGGAAAGGAAAAGAAGTTACAAAGGACAGGAGCAAGTTATAGAGAAACAGGACCTATTTAGAGATAATGGGTGAAAATCTAACTGAAAAAGGGATTCTGTAAAGGTACATAAGATTGTATTGTTATATTAGTAATAGAAATAACTTTAGAAAATTGGAAACAACATATGATTAAAATGAGGGATAAAATAGTTAGTGTAATTTAGTGAAATGTTTGTGAATAAAACAAGTGAAATAAAATAAATGAGAAAATTGAATTAGGAAGGAACGGGAACATTTTAATTAGTTAATGTTTTATAAAATATAAGTGAAGAGGGGGGGAATTAACTATGGAAAGCTTATAATTGTTCCCATAGAAGTATATTTAATTGAAAAGTAATGTTAAAGATGTTAAGACTTTAATGAATATTAATATTAATAATAGAATTGAATTGGAATGGAATGTTGTTTTAATTATATATATTTATAATTTTTTTTCTTTTTTTAAGAATACAGTGTGTATTTTAAGAATGTACCAAGCAGAATCCGAATGGAAGTTATGTATTATATTGAATGTTACAACTTTAGGGAAAAGATATAAAGGCGTCATACTCCAATCAGTAACTACAGGAGAAGTTTTGTTTAATGAGAAAAGATAATAGATAATTGAAACAGGACAGACAAAAAAATATAAATACAACGATTTGAATTGAGATGAGATAATTAAAATAAAATTGAGAAAATTAAAAGAGGGGAGAAGCTATGCAGAAAATGTAAAATAGTAATAAGATATGGAATAGAATATAAAAACGAGCATGAACCTGAATTTGTGTCTGTACGAAGAAATGTAACCCGGGATTATGCTGCTTTCAAAAAAGATGTTTTATTTGTATTATTTTTTTCTCTTTGTGAACACTCAAATAAAATTTACCAAAAAAAAGAAAAAGAAAAAAGAATTGACTGAGTGCTTTTTGGGTGAAGCCCAGGACAGAACACAAGCTTCAGCGGGGAATTTCTGAACCCTTCAGGTTCCGTTGTTCTGAATCCTTCATGCAGGTGGCCAAGACCAAGCAGAAAATTGAAGAGGAGAAGATGCAGGTCTTGGTGGTGGAGCGAACTCAGCAGATTCAGATCCAGGAGCAGGAGATGATCCGTAAAGAACGGGCGCTGGAGGCCCAGGTCAAGAAACCAGCCGAAGCAGAACGTTACCGGTTGGAGAAATTAGCCGAGGCTGAAAGGTACGGACATTACACTCCTCTATTCTCCTCTTTTTTCCCCTTCCTATTCAGAATCTGCCGTTACTCATCATAGAAGAGCACTTTTCAAAGGAGTGAACTGATGCTGGCTATGCCCCTTTATAGTATAGTAGTCCTCGACTTTTGACCACAGTTGAGTCCCAAATTTCTATTGCTAAGTGAATTTTGGCCTATTTTACGACCTTTCTTGCCACCGTTGTCAAATGAGTCACTACATTGTTAAGTTAGTCACACGGTTGTTAAGTGAATCAAGTTTCCCCATTGACTTCGCTTGTCAGAAGATTGCAGAAGCTGATCACATGACACACACACACACACACACACCAAGATCCTGCAGCCATCATAAATAAGAGTCAGTTGCCAAGCATCTGAATTTTGATCAGGGGGATGCTGCAACCATTGTAAGTGTGAAAAATGGTCATAAGTCACTTTTTCCAGTGCTGTCGTAACCTTGAACAGTCCCTAAATGAACTTTTGTAAGTCAGGGACTACCTGTAAAGCTGGAGGGTCAAATAATGGAATGTATCTCCACAAAAATAATACAGATAGTCCTTGAGTTATGACCGTAATGGAACCTGCCTGGTCATTAAGCAAACCAGTGGTTCACAATGGGGTCTGTTTTTGTCAAAAGCCCAAAATAAATTCCGGGTGTTTTGGGGGGGGCAAAACTGTGGTAAAATGCAGTCAGGCGACCATAGGCTACGATTGGCAGCCCATAAATTTCCCATCCTTTTGTCTCAAAGTTGCTTTTTCAAAAGGTAACTGAACTGTTGTTTTTTTTCTAGAGGAAGACGGTGGATTTTTTTGTTTCTGAGGGGGAAAAAAGAGGGGGGAAAACAGTCCAGTTGCCCTTTTGAAAAAGCATCTTTGAGACCATTGTAGATGACTGAAAATCTCCACAGATATTCCTTATCCTTTGCTGTTTGATGCAAAAAGGACTTCCCAGCATGGCTTCCACGCATTTTATCCTTTTTTAAATTTCCTGCAACTAACTCTCCAGTTGCAAACCAGGGGTGGGTTACCATGCAGATGTCTCCAAACTTGGCAACTTTAAGACTAGTGGATTTCAACTCCCAGAATTCCCTAGAGCAGAGGTGTCCAAACTTGGCAACTTTAAGATGTGTGGACTTCAACTCCCAGAATTCCTCAGCCAGCTGGCTGAGGAATTCTGGGAATTGAAGTCCACAAGTGTGGAGACCTCTGCCCTAGAGCAGTGGTGCCTAACCTTTTTGGGCTCATGTGCCAAAAATTGTGGTGCGCGCTTGCACGCTCGTGCTCGCGTGCCAGTACCCAGAAGGCAATTCGCGCCCCCCACACCTCCTATGCATGCGCACGTAATCCCTACCCAGCCTGCCGCCCACTTACTTGCATTTCGCCTCACAGCTGATTTTCGGCCTCCCAGAGGCTTGAGGAAGGCTTCTGCAGGTTTTTCAGGCCGAAAACTAGGCCCGTTTCGTCACTTCCGGTATTTCCAGAAAAACAGGAAGTGACAAAACGGGCCTAGTTTTTTGGCCTGAAAAACATACAGAAGCCTTCCTCAAGCCTCTGGGAGGCCGAAAGAGGCCTCAAACCGGCCGAAAATCAGTTGAGAGGTGCACGCATGCGCACTGAGGTAAGTTTGCCTGCAGCTTGCCTGCTGGCACAAATGGCCCTGGGTGCCATCTGTGGCACGCGTGCCATAGGTTCGCCATCACGGCCCTAGAGTAATAAGCCTGTTCTCTTGCTCTAGGTTTGTCACCTCAAGCTGCTCTCAAACCCTGTCGCTTCCTAGTCTCCCCCGCCATTTTGGGGAGGCCAAAAGTGGCCCTTGAATGTTGGATGCTGGGCAGAGGGGTGAACCCGTGTCCCTGTTTTCTTCCCAAACAGGATGCAGCTCATCATGCAGGCGGAGGCAGAGGCAGAAGCCATCCGGGTGAGCCCTTAATTCTTCTCTACCTCATGGGAACGAAGAGGAGGCAGAGGTGGATGAGAACTTAGCTTATCCTGAAATCCCGTTTTCGTTTTTTAGGTGAAGGGCGAGGCTCAGGCGTACGCAGTTGAGGCCAAAGCCCGGGCTGACGCTGAGCAGATGTCAAAGAAGGCAGAAGCTTTTAAGCAGTATCAAGAGGTTGCCATGGTGGACATGCTTTTGGAGAAGCTTCCAGAGGTAAGCACGTCCTCCTCGTGTAATCCCAAGGAGAAAAAAAGGGAGATGAAGTCCCAAAGGTGCTTTTTTTTCAGGAGGCAACTGGACTTGCTTGTTTTTTCTTCTTTTGAAGACATTTCGCTTCTCCCCCAAGAAGCTTCTTCAGCTCTGACAGGATGGTGTGGAATGGAAGGATTTATATTCCTTGCAGACAGCTGGTCATTTGCATCCTTTGAGACGGTCACTGAAGCGCTTGAAGTTTTATCTAAGTTGTCCTAAGTAGTGCTCCTGACCACTGTAGTCTGCAGTTTTGTCCTCTGGAAATCCATTCCAACTCCCACACCATTCAAAGGGTGTTCATCCCAAATTGTATAGCTAAAAATCTGAGGATACAGATAAACCTCCCAAGTGCTTCAATGACTCTCTAAAAGAGTGCAAATGACCAGCTGTCTGCAAGCAGTATAAATCCTTTCATTCCCCACCATCCAGTCAGATGTCTTCAAAAGAAAAAAAAACCAAGAAAGTCCAGTTGCCTCTCTCTCTCTCTCTCTCTCTCTCGCTCTCTCTCTCTCCCTCTCTCCCTCCCGCTGACGTTCCCTCCCCCAAACTCCCTAACATCATCAGTGCTGCACAAATGATGTTACCTAGTTTGGGTAACAAAATGTCTGCAACAAAACAACCAAGCCCAGAGAACACCAAGGACCCCCCGCCCCCCACTTCTAGTGCAGTTAATCCTCGACTTATGACTTAATAATTGAATCTGGAATTACAGCTGTAGGTCATCACAGTCATTAAGTGGGTACCACATGACTAACTTTCTCCAGTGGATGTTTTTTGCTGGAAATCAGAAGTATAGGGCAAAAAGAAGCCGCGGGCCTTTTGCAGATATCCTTAATCTCAATCAGGGGTGTCAAATTCAGGGTTATTTTCAAAGAGGAAGAAGAAAAGATGAGAAGAGAGCAAGGAAGGAAAAATAAGAAAAGAGGAGAAGGAAGAAGAAAGTAGATTGAAGAGGGAAGGAAAAATAAGGGAAGGAAGGAAAGGAAGGAAGGAAGGAAGGAAGGAAGGAAGGAAGGAAGGAAGGAAGGAAGGAAGGAAGGAAGGAAAGAGATTCTAATAAGAGTGAGGGAGGATCTGAGGGAAGTTCTGCCTTAGCACTTGGTCACCTCAGATGCACCCTCAACACAAGTGATGTCGAGCTGGCCACGCCCATCCCTGCCACACCCACCTCGCTCCCCCGAGGTCAAACACAACCCTGATTCGTCCCTCAATGAAATCAAGTTTGAACACCCCTGGTCCAAATGGTTCCTTTGAGGGTAATAATATTTTGCTTCTATATACTATTTTGCGCTGGAAAGACTTTTCCAGTCTTCAATTAGAATTTTCCCTGATTTTTTTTCCCACCCCAACAATCTTGTAAGGTAGGTCGGACAGAGAGAGAAGCCCAAAGTCATCTCCCCCAGTCTCCTGATCAAGTAGGGACTTGAACTGTAATCTCTATGCAAGTTTGCTACCTTAATCGTTGGGTGTCTTCGCGTTCCCTTCACAGATAGCCGAAGAGATCAGCAAACCATTGGCTTCCGTCAATAAGATCACCATGGTGTCAAGCGGGAACGGAGATGTGGGTGCTGCGAAGATGACCGGGGAAGTCCTGGAAATCATGAATAAGCTGCCTGACACTATTGAGAAGCTGACCGGTGTTAGCATCTCTCAGGTATCGCTCGAGGATTGCTGAGCTGTGGAGAGGAAGGGGTGGAGCAAATATAAAGCCCTTCTCAGTAGCAACTTAGCTAGAGTAAATATGCGGTTACCTATCCTGGCTTCCATTCCATATTTAGCGGATTAAGTAGAACCCGAAATCTGGGCTGTGTGGAAGGAGGAAAAACAATTGGTTGGAGACAAAAGAGGTGCTCCTTAATTAGCCAAAGAGAAAACACAGCTCAAGTGATGAGCAACAACCTTGTTGTTATTTCTGGGTTTCATCTTCTGGAAGTAGGTAGCCTGAGGTACTTTTAATCAGTGTGCTTGCTAGGGATGTTGGGAGTTGTAGTTTCTCAGTATTTGGAGGGCCACAGATTCTCTATGCCAGGGTGTCAAATTCAAGGCCTGAGGGCTAGATCCGGCCCATGGAGTGCTTAGATATGGCCCGCGGGCCCACCTTGGAAACAGCGAAGGACCGGCCCGTGGTGCCTCTGCCAGTAAAAAGGGAGCTTGGGGAGGCTGCTGCAGGCTGTCGAGGCTGAAAACAGAGCCCGGGCGGGCTGTGCGCGGCCTCCCGGAGCTATGCTTTTGCTGGCAGAAGGCTGAGGGAGGCTGTCGCAGTCAAACACGAAGCCTGGGCGGGCCGCACAGCCTCCTCAAGCTCCATTTCCACTGGCAGAAGGCTGCAGGAACCTGCTGTGGCCAAAAACGGAGCCCGGGAGGGCAATTGTGGACGAAAACAGACCCCGAGGAGACTGACATGGTCGAAAATAGAGCCTCAATGAGTGACATTGAGCTGGCCACTCCCCCCGACTATGCCCCCCCCCGGCCCCCTGTAGTCAAACACAATCCTTATGTGGCCCTCAGTGAAATTGAGTTTGACATCCCTGGTCTATGCTAATGGAGAACATCTCTGTTCTGGCGACTATTCCGTCTTACCCCAATCTAAACACCCTCGAGATGAGAGCTCTTTAATTCCCAGAATTCCCCAGCGAGCATGAGTATTATTGAGATCTCTTGGAGATGAAGAAACACACCTGATAGCTTATACACCGCTTCACAGTGCTTTCCAGCCCTCTCTATGCGGGATTGCAAAGTCAACCTATTGCCCCCAACAATCTGAGTCCTCCTTTTACCCACCTCAGAAGGATGGAAGGCTGAGTCAACCTTGAGCCAGGTGGGATTCGAACTGCCAAATTGCAGGCAGCCGGCAGTCAGCAGAAGTAGCCTGCAGTACTGCACTCTTAACCGCTGCGCCACGGAGACTCTAATGCATATTTCACTGGGGAAAGTCTCCATGTTCATGGGAGTGATGACTGAATTTTAATTTTTTTTGGGGTGGGGTGGGTTTGCTGTCTCTGCAGCAGATGAATCAGAAGAAACCAGGACGGATGAACTGATGGGGTCAGAAGGACAAGAAAAAGTCATCTTGAGAGTGACCACCCATGGATCATCATCAATATGCACCCATATTTAGTGTTCCTCCTATCAGTGCCCTCCTGTGAATGCCATACCTTTACTACGGACAAGATTGTTGCATGTCGATCCGTATCTGCAAATGCTGAGGTCTCGTTACTCTGCTGTAAGCACCGTGATAGCTGGTGATGTCTCTGGGTGGACCTGCGACATCAGTGTGTCGCACTGTGGATCCGTTTATACTGATTTCCACCGTCACTTTGTAAAACAGGATCCCGTCGTTCCTTTCCTTGATGCTGTTTTTGTTACCTGAGCCTGCTGGTCACTAGATACCCTTTTTTTTCCTATATACGTAAGCTGTCCTCAAGGATCTAACAATGGCTCTCGTTCTAAAAAGGCCTGGAAGAATATAAGAATGGAGTAAGGATGAAGGTTGAAACCCAAGATCTGTTTTTATTTATTTTTTTTAAAGGCCAGGTGGGTGGCCTGATTTCAGGGATTTCTATAGCAAGGGGAGGTCATTTAGGATTTTGTTCAGTCGTTTCCCTAAAGAGTTACCGCCTATGTACAGAGAGGGATTCGGTTAACAAGCCTAGTGATGTGTGGGTATCCCAGGGGTCTCCAGACTTGGCCAACTTTAAGACTTGTGGACTTCAACTCCCAGAATTCTCCAGCCAGCTATGCTTATTAATTAAGCTATGCTGGGTGGAGAATTCTGGGAGTTGAAGTCCACAAGTCTTAAAGTTGCCAAGT